TTCTGTATGCATTGTATTTTAATAAGTTTATTTTTTTAATTATATTTCAGTGTCATATAAGGCAGCATGTGCTTAATAAAAAAAATCCAATCTGTAGAATGTTTAAACCTAATTTAGCTAAAATTGTAAATGTCGTCTCTTTGTTCAGAAAATTAGAATTTATCGCTTTTGTGCAATCCTGAATATCTGTTACTTGAAATTAGTGGGCACACATCATGAAAAGGCTATAGTATATTTAAAGCATTTTTTAGGGTGGGGGAAATTGGTAATTTCTCCCTTTCCTTTTGTTTAATATTTTCTGTATTTTATTCTAGAAAATTTGTTTGTTAATTTGTTTTTCATTATAGAAAAATCTGAAGGTTTTTGTTTCATGAACTTTATTAAAAAAACATCAGTTTAATTACTACTTTTGAAGTTGCTTCCATGTCATTATATCTTCCACATCATAAAAAACAATGTTTTGTTTATATATTATTGCAGTGAAGGGTGCTTTTATATCAGGCTATTGGATATTATGTTTGCATTAATTATTTTAAGTGTTTCTCTAAAGTGTTTGCCCCCTTGTATAGAAATAGCTCAATACATAGTTATTTTAAAGTAATGCAGAAAGATTGTGAAATTTGCTATGTTGTTTTATTCACAAATTTCATTATGAATCCTTTTTTATGAGTATTATTTAAATTCCAACTGTTTTTAAATAAATTTAAAATAATTTTGAGTACTCCCTTTTTCTAAAAGATTTCAGCTATAACTTTAGAAGAAAAATATTTAAAACTGCCATAATGATAACATATTGCATTACCATTCACATTAAATAATTTAATTTTGATATTATACATCATTTAATTTTATGTATTATCAAAATTTACAGAATTTTAAGGCATTGACAAATTAGGAATAATTTTCAGGTGATACCCAAGTGTGTACATTTTTATGTACTTTCCACTGGAACTAGTTATTTTATAAATTAACTATCTTCTAAAATTAGTGTAATTAAATTCATCTCTTAATAATTCTTAGTATAAATGTTTCTCGTCTTTAATATTTGATTACTTTGCTGTACATGTAAAGCATTTCTTGCTCTTCTATGAAATGTTCACTTTATAAAATTTATATTTGTTATAACTTTGTGCATTCTTTAATCAAGTATATTTTGTCAAAATAATGAAACATAATATTTTACAGACTTTTTTATTACTTTTTTTCCTTCTTTCTTTCTAAAATGTGGGTGATACTTAATGTAAACAGTTGTGTAGGAAGTTCGTAGAGCACACTTAGCAAATCTAAACAGATGAAAACCCATATTGTGGCATATCTATTAAATGCTAAAGAAAAGTCTGTTTTGTCATAGGCATATTAATCATATTAAGAAGAAATAGTTTGTAGCTTTTGAAAAGTTTATCATTTAAATTTTTATTAGTTCTAATTTCTTGTTTTTTTTTTTTTTTTTTTTTTTTTTTTTTTTTTTTTCAGTTAATCAAAATTTATTGATTGAGAAAGAGAATTTCTGCCATTATGTAATTCATGTTGTTAACAATATTTTGAAGCTATCTTTATTTTATATAATTTTTTGTAATAAGCAATACTCTGTCATTTTTTGTTATATATTATCATGTTATTTAAAAGTGAAATTAAAAGATCTAAAACATTAAAAAGCAGACTTTTTATTATAAATGTTCACACATTTTTCATATTCCAAAAATTCAGAAGAATTTTGAGAATGTATATATATGTATGTACATATTATTACATGATTTAAGTAATATTCTAATGAGAAGCTATGCAGTTATTTGTGGCTTAATGTTAATCATTCTCATAAATTCAACTGTAAAATTATTGCTATTTTAGGAGCTTTAAACTTAGCATCTCCCCTTCTTTGTAGTATTTTTCAGTTTAAACATATTAAAACATTTCAACAATGTAAACAGCAGTAAATGTTAACATTATCATGTCATATCATCTAGTAATATGTTAATCATTTCCAATACTGTAAAAATAAAAAGTTGGGTTTTATGATATAATAATATTTTTCGTTAATGACAGTAACTTGTGTTCATCAATATATTATGTTCGAATATGTAGAGTATTCATGGTATATTTAAAAGCACTGAATAACTGCAAACTGTTAGGGACTAAGAAAATTAGTGTTTATAGATAAATTGTATTTTAATGCATAAAACTGTGTTGCATTTAGTTGTTCTGGAAGGACTTTGTTTTTGTGTATATATTAAATTTAATTAATACTTTAATCATTGTCAACATAGAGGTGAGGCAATAATTAACACTATGTGTCCATTCGAAGAAAGGCTAAATAATATAAGATATACATTTCTTTTATCCTGTATTTTAATTTTTTTAATAGCTGATTTTTTGAAAGAGGATCTCACATGTGAAAATAACCAATTTAAAATTAGAAGTACTAAGAATTCAAGTAAATACAGGGGAATTTACCCTGTATTGAAGTTTATTGTATTCGGGGGGGGGCATTATATTATGATTCCAAATACATCTTCATGAGAATATTAATAATATATTTTTAAGTGGGAAAATTCTTTTGGTATGCCATTGCTAACAAAATTAAGAATTAAAAAACGTTCCATTCTTGTAAATTGCAAAAGAATGACATTTAAACAGGAAACATTAACCACAAACAACTCTAATTTATTATTAACCAACTTTTCAAGGTAAGTGAAAAACAATAAAATTTCAGTCAATTTTTGCATTTTATGTTTTATAATACATATAAAATTTCCTGAAATATAACTGCAAGAACCAGGAGACCACATAAAAAATTAGATTTCATACAAAATTAATTTTTTTGAATTTAAAAATGTTGAAATATGAATAATTGCATTGTTTATAATATTTTTTGTAATTATAACTCTTTGTTTACAACTAACAATTGCAAATCTAAAGCCATGTAAAGACTTCTGTGGTCACTGTACAGTAAAAACTCCCTGGGTAATTGAGCATATAAAAAATGGAATTCGTGGTAAAAAACTCGAATGAATTGGAGAGAAAATTTCCGTTCTAAAATTATAAAAAGGAGTAATTTTATTTGCTATCAAATGTCTCAATTTAAATTATGTAAAATTTAGAAAGAAAAAGAGCATTTCAGACATAAATGCCAAAGTAAAATATCATATTTGATTATGAAACTCCTTTGACCATGAAAACTCACAGAGATCTCACCAAACTTGTGCCAGTCATTCCAGCTGAAGTTTGAAAGAGCAAAATGATCTGCAGTTCTGTGATGAAATTATTCAAAGGAAATTTTATACACATAGGGAAAATTATTATAAAATCAGTCTTCACATATATTTATAGACAGAATTTTCCATTTTTAAAATTGCATATATTGGTTTGGTAAATGTGAATTTCATTATTCCATGTACATAATTTCCTCATTATTAATGATGTAAAGTGCATTTTCTGAAGAAATAAGAGTATTTTTATGTATCAGATGCTGCACTTTGTGCATATTTTGTGCTGATAGTAGATGCTTTCAGTTCACAAAATAATAATTTCTTTTTTATATGTTAAATTATAACTTCTTGAAAACATGGTTTAATTGGTAAAAAAATTTTTAAATGAAGCAAAATTCAATCTTCGACAGTCAGCTGTTGTCCTTATAGTAACACCCCTCCTCCTCCATTTCCCAATGCCTTATGATATTTTGATTGAAATTTTATATGCATGTGTGTTATATCTTGCTGAATATTCTCATTTACCAAAAGAATCACCTTGTATAAATACATATTTATCAAAAACGCCAATGATCTGTTATAGAAAATTAAATATGACAGGTTTTATATATCTGAATAACCAAATTTACACATTAATAAGCAAGCTAGTATTGAAATAATGGACTATACCATTTTTCTATAAAATGAAATTCAAATTTATGTTTTAACATAGAATTCCACTTAATTTTCAAAAATTTCATCTTTCTTTGGGCTGTGTTAAAGTTTAAAGTAAGACGAAACTGTTTTTGATTTAACAAGTATTATTGAATCAATTAAAATTTAGATGTTGAACAAGAATTTTTGCAATTACGATATTCATCTATTTATTGATTAATAAGGTAGTATGGATTGTATTTTCATTTAGGCTTATAATTGTGACATACTTTGTAAAAGTATTTAAGCTGTGAATGATAATTAATGTGCTGTGAATGATGTAGGTATTCAGAATGTGTCATTTATGTGTAATTAATTATACAGTTAATCCAGTTACAATGATCCATGAGTGCCTGTAAACTGCCCTCATTTTTAGAGGTAAATGAAACAAAATTTTGATTTTTAGGAAATCTGTCCGGGCAAATTTAACAGTATTTTTTTTAACTATAAATATGCAAATAAACTTAACAAGTATCCTCCCCCCAACGTAAATTAAAAAAATCGGTACTTTTCCGTTTCGCCAAGCAGACTTTGTTGGCGACAACATACATACAGTATATGCACAACAAATGTTAGGTCTAAGAATTTTTTATTTTGAAGGCATAAACATTTTAATATGGTTTAAAATTTTGTAAAAAGACAATAAAATTTGTAAAAAGACATTAAGAATTTACTACGCTTTCATGGTTCGACATCCTGATTCGCCGATTCGTATCACGTGACCCCAAGTGATCTTATATCACGTAAACTACGCTCAAAAATCTAATTCTCTTAGCAATTATCTACATTAATTTCAGGTTAAATCTTAATTTGGAATACAAGTTTAAAGGCAAGAATTATTTCAATTCGTACGAATAGCTTACTCAGAAGTTATGTAAAACCGCAGTGCTTTACTTCTCTAGCGCATTCTCATTAGAATTAATGAATTTAACCCTTGATTTTGTCTTTTCTTTATTTTCGCCTTCGGGTGAGTGGTGTGATTGCACTCTAATTGGCTTAATTACCGTGAATTGTCTTAGGGCATAAAATTTAACTATCTTGTAAATATTCTGTGTAATTGTATGCCAGTATTGAAAGAAACAATCAATCTGATAAGAAATGGCTGCGAATTGTTTTGAAAATGAGGCGTAAAAGTTTACCAGCGGAAGATATTCTGTTTGGCATCAGTTGTACCATTGCTGGCGACTCGTTTGCGCCGGCAAAACGGAAAAGTACCAAAAATCTTTCTAACAATCAAAATAATGCTATAAATATAGCCAAAGAAAATACTTTTTGTGTTATATTTCTAACATTAAAGAAACTTTTTTTTTCACTATTAAGTTATACATTGCCTTTTAATATTAATTTTGAGTTTATGTCGTTAACATTTATTTATTTGTGTCTTTTCAGACATTGAATTTCAAGTGAAATGCACTGCGTAATTTGTCTGTTTACATTAGAAAGATTCAGAATGCGTTATATCCCAAATAAGTCTCTAGCCCCAAAAATCCTTTTTTTATTATTATTATTATTTTTTATTTTTATTTATTTATTTCTTTTTTTCCTTGTATTTTTTCCCCGTAGGTTTTATTTCTGATTTTTCACTTCTGAGTAAGATAGAGAAATCTTTATATTTTAAAGCTAATTTTGGCTGGTTTACGAATGGGTATTACATTCCTCAATTTCCAGATTTCTTTTTGTAGACTCCACAGGCTGATAGTTGACATGTGATACTTCACAGAAAATATACTTTGAATTTTCTTCAAGTTTTAATAGGCATTCATTGCTCCCGTGTTTAATCTACCTTTGCTACGTTTTGTTTCTTTAGACAAGCTGAGTAAACCCGAACCTTAAGCAATTAAAGCGCTGCGCCGGCCATTTCTTTGATTCAAAGTTTTCCATCATGACGTGCACACTGAACGTATTATTTGCATTAAAGATTGCTTTGTTTTCAGTATTTTGCTACAGTTTCCAAAATTATATAGGCAGTTTTTCAGAATTATTTGCTTTGGATTTAGTAAATTGTCTCAGTTTAATTGTAGGGAATTTTTTTTTCTTTTGAAGTCAGCTTTGATATCATCTTCCGGTACCGTGTTTGAGGAATGTTTTAGAACAGCCTTCACCATCGTTTTATTATTTAGTTGTTATGCGTGAAACTTTACTTCAGTTTGTTGCAGGAATTTTGTTAGTTATTTGCAGCCTGCTCATCATTTTAGTGTATACAAAGATCGATCCTATTTTTACTTCTGCTTCTTAACTTACGTATAATTCTAATTGGTGGGATTTGTTTTTCTTCTGCAAGTTTCCTCTGCTAATTTTCCTCTCATAATTCTGAGGGCAAGAGAGAGTATATCTGTTAAGTCCGAGTGAGTTTCATTATCAGTTTCTTAAATTCTTATATTAGCTCTGTTTTTTAACCCATTTCCCTTCTTCATTTAGTTTAATTGGAAATTCTGCTGTTGCTGAAGTTATAAATTTTATTTGCCTGCTTCTTTCTTACTCATTGGTGCTTTTTGAGGGTTCGAGGATTTCCAGCATTTTTCAGGATCAACTTTCTTGATTAGTTTTGCCAGTTCATTTGAATCCTGTGTGGCAGTAACTCAAAATTGCATATCTGAAGCTACTATGCTCTGAGGAAAAATTTTTCTTAACTTCGAAGAATTATTTTTTCCTTCAATTTCACTTTTCCTGAATTTGCTTGAGAAGTGGTTAGTATTTACTATTAGGATGAGACTGGTAAATAGATCGGTATCTGAAAATTGAGACATCTCAGCTTCATGGAGTGCCTTGTGAAAAAGAGTATTGCAGGTATAAAAGACACAAAAGTCGGATATGTTTTGCTACTTTTAATTCTTATATTATGTTAATCGTTCAAGCAAAACACCACACTTGCTGACATTTCGAGCAACGAATGCAAAATTATTTACATCACCTGGCAATAAGGATAGATTCTTAAAAATAGCCCTTGCAAAAATTAATGTGGCTTAAAGAAAACAAAAACATGGAAACAGCTGTATAAAAAGGCATAAATTTGGTTTTTATAAATCGGAGAGTTTCACTTCTAGTACTTGTAAGCTGCTTGTGATGATATTAATCCAACAATATGCCAAACATAATGGGAGATTTGGAGTAGGATTTGATTTAAGGAAAACCATAACGCTGGGATTATTGTAAACGGTGTATTCATGCATTTGCTTAATTTTAAGAGAGTGATTTTTTTTTTCTCCCAAGCAGTAATTCTGTAAATGGATATACAGTTTTTCTTTTACATAAAATATTTCGATGGGTTTCGAAAAATTCCCCATCCCAAATTTTTGTATATAAATGTATTCAAAAATATAATAATTTTGTATAAATAAATTCTGATTAAATAATTCCAAAAGTATGATTTTACTACCTATTTTGGTGCTAACAATCAATTTTTAATGTAAAAATTAAAGAGGTAAAAATATAAACTAAACTCAGAAAGACTTGGCTTATAATCCACCCAACACATAGTCCCAAGGTATGTGGATTAATGGGGGAATTTTGTTATGATAGGGAGCTGGGATATTATGCTGATTTTTTTGCATAAGTATTTTGAATATGTTTCTTCGTATATTTTACCTTTATTATCAGTATGTCAACAATGGAATGCAGACTTTTCATTAATTACCAATTTTATAAATTTTTGAGATTTTTAAGAGATTTGTGGTTACAATTATAATTTTGATTATTATTATTTGGAACGTCAACTTATTTAATTTTCCCAGATTTTTATTAGACTCGCACCTCTTGTCTGAATGCATTCATCCATTCGTTTACTCTGTTCTTCTGAAAAATAATTCTTCCAGTCACCAATTATACCTTTTCGCATCATTCTCGGTTCGACATCACTAGACAAACATCTGTTCTCGTTGTAACCCGTGCTGCTACGCAGATATTGTTTCATAAAATCTCCTTCTATAAGATTTTTCATAAATTTGAAGCTTGAGTGTTTCACAACATCTGTAATAAATTATTTTTATTGCTTAGAGGTATTAACATCAAATTTAAGATAGCACTATAATTACAACTATTAAAGTATGTTATTAATATGCAACGATTTACCGTACTTCTTGCATGTAACAAGATGCCTGTTGCTGAAGTTATAAAATACAGTAGATACTTAATTAAAATGTGATAACTAAATCTTTCTGCTATGTATCAGTATTAGTATTAAGCAGTCATGCTATGTCATGTGATCAGAATATGTCTTCTTAAATTAGGATAGTAATTTTATGATGGTGGAAATTTTAAGGCATTTTCTGAGATTTCTTGAATAAAAACTTTTGTGCAGTTGTCAAATAAATTTATGAACTCATTTTTCCTATTTTCTTAATTTTTGTTATAAATGCTGGATTATTTTAAGTATTTAAATAATTTTGATATTGTTATGAACTGTTTTATTAGAATTTAAGCAAAAAAAAGATTGGAAACTTTTTTTTTATCTAAGTTCCAAATCAGAAGTATTTAGTAGAACTCTAAATCATCGAACTAACAGTCTGAAATGCTAAAATTTTATCCCCTTTTTGGGGAAAAAAAAAAAAAAAAAAAGCGCCTTTTTTCTTAAAGTGTTGCTTTTGTCAGCTAGTCATAAAATTTTACACAGTGCTTAAGATGTGTAGGCTCTTGATCAATTTAAGTCTGTTTTTAGACATTGAAGGAAGATTTGTTTGTTTTTATCTGCAATGAAGATGGTTACAGCCGAAAACATCGCGGACGAAAACTTCGCAGAGAAACAACGCAAGGCGAAAACGTCGTGCTACAAAACATCGTGGGAGAAAACATCGCAAAGAGAAAACATCGCAGTTCTAAAACATCGTCGTCGAAAATAAAGCGGTTAAAAAACTTCGCAGTTTTAAAACATCGTCGTCGAAAATATCGTGTTAAAAATTAAATTATCTACAGATCATCGCATGACGATAACATCGCAGACATGCTTTTTTTAGGTTTTAATAACTGTAAATAGATATTCCCATAATAATTTGAGAGCGCAAGATGTGAAGAATAATAATTTTTACTCTCACATTTTTTGATTAACTAATGAATTTTTGCTGAAAAAGTAAGAAGGAAACATAAGCATAGAAAATTAAATGCAACTTATAGATTATACTTTTTTATGAAAAATTACCAGTAAAAACTTTATAAAAATTATTTATTAATGGTCTTTGTTAGTTAACTATGTCGGTTTAAAATTCTATTAAGTGCTATAAGTTGCATTAATTTTCTATGCTTAAGTTTCCTTCTTATTTCCTCAGCAAAAATTAGTTAATATAAAATATGAAAACAAATTATCCTACTTTCTATTTTGCGCTCACAAATTGTTATGGGAATATCTATTTACAGTTATTAAAGTCTGAAAAAAGCATGTCTGCGATGTTATCGTCACGCGATGATTTGTAGATACTTTATTTTTTACCACGATATTTTCGACGACGATATTTTTAAACTGCGAAGTTTTTGAACCGCTTTATTTTCGACGACGATGTTTTGTACCACGATGTTTTAGAACTGCGATGCTTTCTCCCACGATGTTTTGTAGCACGACGTTTTCGCCTTGCGTTGTTTTCTCTGCGACGTTTTCGTCCGCGATGTTATCGGCGGACACCAATAAAGATTAACCAATACTAAATTTTGATTTTGCTAGAGTCGTGTGAAAAAATTATTTGCTGAAGTGAAATATGCTAATTGTACGTAATATGAAAAGAGTTTGCTAACCTGTGTAAAAGGATGCCATTCGTTCTCTACCGTACTGAAGGATATTTTTTTTTAATTTTAAAAAATGTACGTTATGAGACAGCAGATATTATATTAAAGCAGAAAATCAATAAATGTAAGCTTAAAATGTACAATATGATTTAACAAAACGTTATCTGAGTACGTAGAACTCTTAGCCGCATTCGCCATCATTAATACCATTGTTCAAATCTGATATATGTAAAATTCAATTTAGCAGAATACATAATATAACGCTCATTTCTTCATGCATGCTAGACCTTTTTTCAAGCTGTTTAGCTCTTCGCTTCCGGCGTAAACAATAGGCAACGCAGCCTTCAGGCTATAACGGTGAAGACAGCTTCATGGCAAAGCACTAAAGTACAGCTCCCAACTCGGTCGATCGCTTTCAAGCTAATCTCTGAACTCAAAGCGCTACTACTGAACTCGACGCATTCAAGATACTCTTCACGATAAAACTGCTACTCTGCGTACAGGCAGGATTTATACAGTTTTTGACCTGTCATCGAGAACATTCTTGGGAAAACCGGTAAGAATTCTTTCTAGAATGTTCTTCCTCCGTCTATGGCATATCGCCAAGTTTGTCGCCAAATAGGCGGTTTCGCGCCAATTCTGGCAACCTTCCCTTTCCTTGCCATTTTCTGGTAACCCTAAACTGTCTTTGCAGGGAAGCTATCTTATCGGAGCTCGGCATTTCGCAACAATAGCACACAAATTTAATGAGTATTCTTATCATTGTATAAAGTAATGCTTTCCTTTTTTTATGCAACTCTGATGTTGTTTACAATGTCTCTGATTTTAAGCAATAAACAATTTAGATGATAAGTAATTAGTAAAAAATTGAAGTCGTACATATATAAATAGATTTATAAAAATTATTCACCTTAACAAAAAATTTATTATATAACAATGATAATATTTCTACTGCGCATTGGGTCAGTACGAAATGTAATAAATTTGGCGAAATTTTCGCTAAAAATTTGCAAACAAATCAAGAATATCATAAAATTCTGTCTACTCCGAAATTTACAAGCTTATAAATTTAATTAGTATATGAACATCTTAAAAATAACATAAACTGTTATATTATATTATAAAAACATAGCGCACAAATACAGTTTTTTTCGTATTTATTGGATAAAATAGGCTTCCATTTCTATTGTTAACAACCTCAAACTACAGCCAACAGTCTTAACAGGCAAGTGATTCTGAATTGTGTCCATTTCGAAATTATCAACAACCTTATTATCTACATTATCACCACAACAAATATTAACACGTAAAATTAGCACTTAAATTGGCGACTCTTTTTGCAGACGTTGCATCAAAGCTATTTTTCCAAATTTTACTTGAGTTAGTAAATAGGGGATACAAATCCATCAGAATTAGAATTTTTATTTTCAAACTGCGCTTAAGGATTGTAACGTATTTGCGTTGCTACGTTACCAACATAATTCCACTAAGAAATGTAAATTACCGCAGACGATTATCCGCAAAGAATATCCGCAGACGATGCGCGCGCTTAAAAATGTTTTTCCAGTTATTCTGTAAGATTTTGACAAGGAGGTTAGAATTCTAAGATAATTGTTACTAATTATTACTAATTGTGACTTATTCGGGAAAACAAGTGCACTTTTTATAGGAATTGAAAAAATATTGATAGATAGGCTTGAAATCAGCGCAAAAATGCTACAATATTTGCGATTTGAAGTCTCTGTAACAACAATTATGTTATATTTCATTGTTCAGTGCTAAAAAACCTTACCTTGAATTATGTTTTCAGGAAGTTCATGGAAACCTAAAAACTCTGCTACATCTAAGATTGTTTCTTCTGTTTCATTTGACAGTGATTCGTAAGTGGTGAAGAAAACATTGGGCAGATTCCTTTTCTCATACCATTCCTGAATATGGTCGATGATGTGCCCATACGGTATTTGACCCAAGAGAAAAGTCTCGAAAAATTCATCAAAACTCTTGATATGATACCTTGGTAAAGACTGAAGAGAGAATAAAATAATAAGCAGAAGAATAAAATATACTATCATAAATTAGCTGTTTAAGATAAAAATGATAAACTTTTCAAGTTACTGTTTTCAAAAGTGTTTGTTATCGAGGTCATAGAAACCTCCATGTGATACGTTATCAGAATTTAAAGAATTGTGGATAGTACCATTTATTACAGAAAAGAATGTAATTAGCTCTCATTATTCTATCTTTCATATACACCGTCAAAAAAGTCTGATATTTAATTTTTGTACCACTCAAACTCATCTTGCTTTCTGTATTGATTCGCTATTTAACAGTTTTGCTCGACCAATGGAAATGGATAGATTAAGCCTTGACTGCAATGCCTCTGATTTGCATTCAAGTAGTCTAAAAAAAGAAAATGTATTCCACGCTGAATTATGAGAATTAATATTTTTAAAAGGATTTCTAAATTCCAGTTTTTGTTCGTATCGACTAGATCAGATTAGAATTGACTAAAACTATTAAGTAAAAACAATCTAGATTCTATTAATGCCATCGCTCTATAATCTAAGCCATGCAGTCATCTATATATATAAAGAAGAAAGTCTGTGTGCTTGTTCTCTAATAACTCAGTCACTACAGACAATTCTTAGGCAATCTTCTAAGCATGTTAAGTCGCGGGAACATTTCCTATTCAAAAACCAAGAATAATTAATTCTTTTCATCTGAATTTTTAAATTCTATCGAAAAATTGCTTTATCTAAATATATAAAGAAGAAGGTGTGTTTTTGTTCGCTAGTAACTCAGCCACTACTAAAGCTATCGTCACCAAACTTTCTACAATTCTTTTCTGGCTTCAGGAAAAGTTCGACGTCCACTTTTTTTCTAAAAAATAATTGCTAAAATCAGAGCTATTAATTAAAAACTCGGAGAAACGATCATTTTCGCCCTCATTTTTCCGAGTGGCAACAGTCTCGCAAGCTGGAGATGAAAATCTGCTTTATTTCGAAAGTTGTTGCCACTACTCGCTTTCAAATCGTAGAGTTTGTTAATCAAAAATGTCTAAGTTTTACGATTAAATAAAAATAGCTTTGCCAAACATTAAATACATTATTCCAGGTTCCAAAAATTCGTGGGAAGCCATTTCTGCTATTTCCATGTTCTTACGGTTTAAATCAGCCGAAATATTAATTAAAAACTGTGAAAGCGCTCATTTTCGCACTCATTTTTCCGAGTGGCAATAGTCTCGTGCGTTAGAGATAAAAATGCTTTATTTCGAAAAATGTTGCTACTATGCTCGCTTTCAAATCGTAGAGTTTGTTAATCAAAAATTTGTTGTAAATTTTACAAAATCTATGCAAAAATGTCTGTTTGTGTGTGTGTTTGTTTGTTCACGTTATTGATTTCTGATCAATTATGATCAACTTTTTGCCACATTTAATACACAAAAATTGAATATAAGGGAAATATTGAGTGGAACTTGAGCTTTTACGACCATTTGATTAGAAAGACGAAAATCATTAAAAACTGCGACTCATTGTTGCTTGCTGATATAATGAGAGAGAAGTAGCTTATTTTTCTATCGAAATTCTTAAGCGGGTTCCACATCGCATCAGACTGAAAAATGTTTGACTATGAATCGTATTTTTTGCATCGTTATTAGAGAAGGATTACGACGGTATCGTTCTCTCTCTTGTTAGATGTATTACTCTGAATCTAACTTAACTGGCATCGGGTTACTTCCGCTAGTATTATATATAAAGCTTTTGATGTACCTGCTTATGAATCAGATTTTATTGATTGTTGTCGTGAGCAGAACAGTTTTTATTACATTGTGAGACTGAAGTTGCCAGTCTCCAGACTGAAAATTTTATTTTCGCTTTATCTATAAATACAGTTTTATTCTTATTGCGTTGTATATCAGTTTGTGAATGTACTATATTACAGAAGTGCAGAATTTAAAAGTTGAAAGCACGTCCATATTAATTTTTTACGAACCCTCCCTCTTTTTTCCAAAGGTATTTCCAAAATTTAAATTCAGCATTTTTACCTAATAATTGATTCTCGCAAAGGGTGAAGAAGAAATACATTAGGACGCATGTTTAGAGGTCATTAAAAGTAGTTTGAATTTTTTAATTATAATAAAAGTTAGCTTTCGAAATGTTTTTGGATTCTGTTTATTGTACGAAAGCATTAAAAATAAAATGAAGAATTTACCCTTTCTTCAATGTAATCACACTTAGCAACTACACAACTTTCCTAACGTTCTAAAAATTTTGCTGGGAGCAGTCCGTATTTCGTTAGTTCTTTCAGTTGATGTATCACGATGGATATGATTAATGTCTAATTTGCTTCCTTTTCAACCAAATTTCAACTTAGGAAATTAAGAGCAGTTGAAGACAAATTAGGAAATACAGTGACATTTTCGTTTCTGAAAGTGAGTGGCTTTTCTGAGAATGTAAATGAACATTGAACTTTACCCCCCACAGAAAACTAAAATCATTCTAGAACCGTGGACGGTCGTTTTAGAAAGGGCTTATTATATACTTGAAACGTCCCAGTGTTATAATCCACTGGATACTGTTCAATCACGTCACTCTGCAGAATTCCGGGAACTTTTTGAAACATTACGTACAATTTTCTATCGGTTATTATTCAGTAATGAAAAGGCAACAAACCAAAATTAATAAATAATCATAATAATGATAATTATCGGAAAGCAAGCAATACTATAAAAGCACTCACTTTCAAGAAGTGGTAAAAGGAAACACAAACATCTTTAGGATTTCTGGCCACATATATGTACTTTGCTTTATTTGAATAAGGCATTAATCGAAAGGGTAGATGGTACTTAAGAGCGATGTAGTGTCTGTCATCATTTGGAAAGCCATCCTGCTCCAGAAAAGGTATCGCAGATAAAATCTTTTCATAATCTTTAGCTGGTTTTCCTCCATTATGAAGGAGATAAACTATGTGTTGCATCCATGTGGTACCACTCTTGGGATAGGATACTATAAATATATCTCCTGTTTTTGGATTATAGTCAACTGCTTCCTCCAAGAAAGGAATATGTACTGGGATGTAAAAGTCTCGGAAAACTGCGTAAGGAACAGACGCATTCTTATCCACCAGCGCCATCTGCTTCTGAAGATTTGCTAAAAGTAAATAATGAGACATACAGGCTGTAATGGATGGTTCTAACTTTATGGCGTGGGATAGAACAAGGCAACAACAAAAACAACACACACACACAAAATAATGTCGTAAAAAGAAAATCTGAAAGGTTTCAAATTAAATTACGTCCAAAGGGGCGTTTTTTTAACATTTTATGTGTTACCTTTATTTATTAAATATCATGTTCTTCGCACTTAAACCATAAAATTCAGTTCTAGAGCGATATCGCAAAATAATTTTAAATAGAGCATATCTTTAGAATTTCCGATACACAGTCCAACGTGCTGGAGATAAAAATGTTTTTTTCTGTACAACGTTCCCATTGCTCGCTTTGAAATCCTTGAGTTTGTTAATCGAAAATTCGTTAAAGTTTTACAAAATAGGAAATCGATAACAAAACAAATTCCAAATTAGGGCTACCAGATGCTCATATTCGGTGAAAGATTACGTTATTCAAAAACTGGATGGCTCTAGGTCTTGTTTTATCATAATGCCAGAAACACACATACATTTATGCAGATTCTTCATTATTTAATTTCTTCAAATATAATACAGGGCGATAATATTTGGTGGCAATAGTTTGAAAAGTGAAACGGACTTTCAGAGTGATTCGACGCAAACTCGCAAAACGAAAACGATAGTCCCTCCGGGACAAAGCCCCTTTGGACTAATAAACTTTTTTTCTAATACAGTGTGTGGTAGATTATAAAATATGAGCAGGATATTTACAAGAAATTATGATTTATACAAAAACGATGCAAAACATGTATCATAACGATGATTCAGTGTTTGGCGAACGCTTTTGAAGATGCCCGATATGTTACTTACTTCTTTTTTGCAGGAACGATACTTGGCGAAAAGTTTTTTTTAGGAACGTCAGTCTGCATTATGCCAACCAGATCCGTCTTCGTCGTGATACTTGAATTGAATATTTCTTTTCTGATCATGTATATTAATTTAACATTTAGTTTTTCAATAAGGGATATTTTCCTGTAAAAGGACGGTTATCTGTGATAAAATATAATATAAAAATATATATTCCACTAAAAGTTTGTTTAGTATTTTGTTCTATTCAAGTGCGGTAGATTATAAAATATGTTCTATTCTCTTGTTGCCGAATGGATAAGATCGCTGAACACCGGTAGTCCGATCCGGGCTCAAATCCTAGCAAATTGACTCATATGTAATTTGATTGTAAGCTAGTTTTTCACACCGAGATATCTCACTAGGCATTAGCAGTAGTATGTTTTGCCTTTAGTAAGTAAATTCAATCCGTCCCAAGACAATTAAAATGATTAAGAGACTAGGCACTGCTATATGCTGGAAAAATTATGACGAATTAAATTCTATTAAAAGGTAAGTCAGTATAGTGTATACTCTTTTTATGATATTAAAAACTGCGTCTTCAAATTATGTTAGGTAGATAGCACAAGTATGCTTTGCTGTTCTGAAATATTCCATTCCATCAGTTTAACCCATTAACGGTTTGGCCCGGATTTTCTCGTTCTTTTATGCAGGTCTCTTAACGGTTCGTTACGGATTATTGTTAGTTTAAATGTACCCTCGAAAACGGACAGTCCCGTGTTTTTGTATTATCAAAAAAACACGCTAAAAAGGACTAGCCCGTATTTTTGTATGTCTTCCAACCCCCAATGCCTAAGGGGACAAGGGTCCATGCAATTCTGACGACAATGGGTAATGGCTGTCATTAGCATAGAGGTAGGAAGTACCTCTTTGGTCATTAGCGTGGGGAGAAATCTTCTTGATGTTTTGGGATAAAGGCCTTACACTGACTCTAAAGAAACAAATTTATTACCAGTTAAGGCCCGTCCACACGAGGACGCTCCCGACGTAGTTGACGTAACTTTTTTGACGCCGGCGTAAATTCGCGTGACGCAGAAGACGTAAAACTGAGTACGCTCCCCCCCCCCCCCCCCCCCCCCCCCCCCCCCCCCCCCCCCTGTTCAGCATTTTCGCCCACGACGCGCGCGTATAGCCAATAGCCGACCGAGTTCTTATCACGTGTCATAATCAGAAAACCTTCTTGCTTACCCGTTTCAATATGGCGTCAGATCAAATCATCACTAATGATCTTAAACTCTTTGATAAAAATATACCCATTGTCAATAAAGCTAAATATCTTGGAATCACCATTAATCATCGACTTACCTGGACTGACCACATCAAAATTATTAAAGGCAAGGCCTACGGCAACATGAAAAACCTCATGCCTCTGCTGGGAAAGTACTCCGAGCTTAATCTCAAAAGTAAAAAGCATATATATACAGCAATCATCAGGCCCACCCTTTGTTATGCGTCGCCTGCCTGGGCTGCCATCAAAGATAAGGATATTAAACAACTTCAAATAATACAAAACAAGTTCCTAAGACTTATCACGAATGCGCATTTCTATGTCTCAAATGCCACCCTGCATAAGGACTTAAAGATTGACTTCATTCAAGATTTCATTTTGAAGACGAATGATAAATTTTTCAATAAGGCTCTCAATTGTCCCTTTATGAATCAATTTCAAGTTTTTAACTACGCTCCCTTACCTGAAGATAGAGACCTGAGGCCCTGGGCGGCCCATCAGTACAACCAAAATTTCCCGACTTGACATTTCTGTACATATCTGTATATAATTTTGTATTTTGTTTCCCTTTATATTAATCCAGATTTTGCATATACTCCAGCCTTTTTATAGTTTATTATTTGCCATGTATTACCTTTAATTATGTTGTACATATGTATTATACTTTATTTTCTTTATTTTCAGGAACTCTATACCTTATGCATGTTTTATCTTTATTTATCCTAGAATTACTTTACGCAAGTATTTATGTTTATTCACTACTTTATTGATTTTTTTTTCAAATTTTTATATTATGTATTTCTCCTCAATCTTATTCATTATTAAGAAATTATCAGGAATAGATAATGCTTTCCCACCACCGCGTTCTCCAATAAGTCTGGTTCTCATTCTGTGACGCAGGGTCACCCCCTTTTCTCTTGACCTTTAGTTACCACCACCTAACTGTTAAAACGACTGATTTCAGGTGCCAACACTCATCAGGAGCCGGTAAAGCGGCATTCACTAGCTGCACACCGGCCATAGCAACATGGATGGATGGATATAGCGTCAGAACCACACAGAGTATGGTTCTGACGTATTTTTGCTTAGAAATATCATAACTGTATACAGCAATAAAATAATTAGCATTGTTCATGCCATCTTCAGATTTCTCAAACCGTACATATTGGTATACATTTAAAATTCTCATTAAAGGGAAAAACTGTATATTTATAAAGCAATGATCCGACCAGTATATCCATATGCTTCACCTATTTATAACACCGTAAGTAATAGGAACCTAAATAAATTAAAGTTTCTACGAAATCAAAGTTTCTGCCTTACAAAATTCTCCTTAATTATTATAAATATTGGCTATATCATGTGTAATAAAAAGCTCTATAAATATCCCAATATTAAATACACCAAAAACTAACTTTCAGCAATATAACCAACTTCTAAAATAAAGCAGTTGACTGTGAAAGAGTATTCAATAAAATACAATTACGAAATTTTGGAAAAGTTACAACTTGTGTCATACAGCAATCATTTGTTGAAATTTAATTAAATTACCTTTGCAGCGACTTCTACTTGTTACATTATTTTTCACGAACACTGCTATCACAGATAGTTGAGTGGTCGGCGCGCTGCTTTGCACTGGCGGAGGATGGAAAGGTGGCGAGTTCAAACCTCACTCGTAGACAGCATATAATTCGGTTAGCTTTTCTCATTTTGAAACGTGTTTCTTATATTTAATCATGAATCATTATATTCTTATTTTACCTATAATTATTGTTTTCACTTCTTATTTTATTCATTATTATTATTATGTTTTTAATTTAGTTTAAAAATGTGCAGTTGCAATATAAAATCCTTATGTAATAATATATCTGCATCTCTTATCATATATCATCTATAAATTCTCTCTTTATTTTTACTTTATTGCATATTTTATCATGCACATAATTTCTCATAAACTGTCCAAAGTTTGAACCTCATTCTAAATTCAAAAATAAATAAAAAGAAAATTAAAAGGCCAAGGGAGGGAGAGTTAAAAAAAATATGAAGTTGGTTTTATTATATGGTGGATGGTGTACTTAATTCTCTTTATATAAAGAGAATTAAGTAATTTAATTCTCTTTATATACTGTATTCCAAACCAATTTTATAAATCCTAATTTTCGTACAATATAGAATCTGCAAGTCTGTCAAACTGGTCGATACTCATCCTGAAGTAATTAAAAAACAAGTAATATACCAAAAAAAAAAAAAAAAAAAAATAAGTCAATTCCTACTTAGGTCCACAAAGAAAAATTTTAAAAATACAAAAATAAATAAATAAATAAATAAAAATACAAACAGAATTTTTTAAATTAAAAATTTAAAAAAATTTTAATATGTGAAAAAGCTGTATTAACATCAAGTGTCATTCACTACAAGTTTACAAAATTGTATTTGAACTTGAGTGGATGAATAAAAAGCATTTTATGTACTGAAAATTTCAACAGGATATAGGGAGAGTGTGAGCTAATAGTAGGAATTTAATAATTCCGGATATTCCTTTCGCAAACAAGGCAGTAAAAAAAAAAAAAATCTCTTTGAACAGGTCGCTCGGTTTTGCCTCTGCTTAATAATTGCAAGTTTCAGCTATAAAAAAAATCGTCTGATTCGGACAACTTGCCGCAAACATACAGAAGAACAGCGAAGTAATAAGATACAGCTCTGTTGACGCT